TAGTTTGTGGTTTTTGAAGACATTGTTGACAATGGATTTGCATGGCTATTAAGCAGCTTAGTGCTGGGTGTGGTTTTAAAGAAATACTTTTTGAGTTTGAGTTAAAAGAAGTCTCCTGGTTCATGCTGTCCAAGGAGAAACCCTGCCTCAGATCACCGGTAGAGACTGATCAGATACAACCAAAAAAAACCCAAACTTGTTGCTGTTCAGTAGATTCTGACTCACACCAGATCAAACATACACACGGCTTATTTTAATTGACACTACAACCCATGAAAATAATTTGATTAGTCATCTGCAAGTGCATTCACAAGGAACTGTATGTGACTCAATTTACTCATTCTTTGGTGACTATATCTTTGGGAAATTTATTCGGCAAGAAACAATCTGTCTTGCTTTTCTATATTTCTTTGTTCATCTTTTTTGGACTATTATCTTATATACCTGTTTCATTTTCTGTATCAATTACAGAATATATTTGACAAGGTATTAACCCCTCTCCCCCCACCGCACCCCCAATCTCTAATGGATTTGACTATTCAGAATTCTCTAAGTCTCTCCCTGAAGAGCCCTTCTCAGGAAAAAGATCCCTCTGTGTTCTCCTTCAGCATCCTGTGCATACCTAAAAAATACTATATCTTATACTGTGTTCTATGTGTTACTTTTCTACTTCCTCCTACATGACTTCAGAAAACTAAATATAAAGACCATCTCTTTTATATCTGTATCCTAAATTACTGGCACACAACAGTGTATCAAAAATTGTAAGCTGAATCAATGAATGAACACATCAAAGACACCACTTACATGAGTCAAACAAGCATTTATTGGTTGGCATTATGTTAGGAGCAGGGCTTCAGACAGTTCGTTTGGTTTGACCCCCTGCTGAGAATCTAGTTCAGCAAAAACCCCAGGTGATTCTTATGAGCACATTCTTACATCTACATAAGAATCACCTGGGAATCTTGTTTAAAACCATAGATTCTGATTCAGTATATCTGGGGTGGAAAGGCAAATTCTCAGCAGGAGACTAAACTGAACAAACTCGTTTGAAGCCCTGGTTAGGAGCTGTGGGAAAAGCAAAGAAAAGAGAAACCACAGTCCTGCCTCCCAGGGAATCTATAGACTAATTAAAGGGAGAAAACTAATAAACAATTTTGGAGGATATGTAGGATTAAAATTAGAACAATGATTATGTAATTAATGGTATTGCAAATTTAATAAAGAGTGCAGAGAAGAATGAGTGCAGTAAGAGCTGAGAAGGACTAGAACTTAAGAGAATTTGGATAAGGGGGGAACAAAGATAGGTTATAGTTTCTAAATAAATACATGAACAAAGGCATCGGGTGGGAATTAGCGTGATATACAGGAGTCATGTACATAAGCTTTCTACAAACATACTAAACTATTTCTGATCAAAAAGTTTTACTCTATAGAGCAAAGAATTAAAATATTTTTACCTGGAGTTCTCCAAGTTTCTTAAATGTTGGTGAGACAATGGTAAAAAATCCATTGATTTGATGCGTTGGAGAAAGCTGGGCTAGTCCACTGATCTGAACTCTACCAATTGGAAGATGATCAAGTTTGGTGATTACATCCAGCACCAGCACAGCCATATCTAATCAGAAACAAGTACAACTTACTCAGATATTTTTCCTTTTTTCCAACTCGACCGAGAACCCATTAGAAAACTTTTTAACTTTAAAAAAAAAAAAATTTATTTTCATATAAACCAGGCAGTTACCATACCACTGTGGGGGTGGAGGGTGAACCCAAGGTCAAAAGAACAATAAAGTTTTAGAAAACAAGGACAAATACCTTACGAGGGCAAAACAAAATTACACTGAATAAAAATATATAGCATACCAAGCAAGGAAAATGCATTTAAAAGAGTATTGTTAAATTTATTTGCCAAGAACTTAGGCTTTGGTTTTTAAATATAAAAGCAACAAATCTCAGTTCTTTCATTCTTACCATTTCTAGTTTTGGAGAAAGGGGGCTCTTGCACAGCTGCGAGGGCTGGTCTCTGCCTCCCAGGAGTATCTAATTGCTTACTCCTGGGTTATATCTGGGGCACTGAGATCAGATTCCCCTGGTTGCCAGGGGCCTTGGAACTGGAGGAGTGGAAATAAGCTCCTTAATTGTATTCTTTAATTAGTCATTAAGATCTAATGCCTTTATGGCCATAACTCACAGCAGGAGAAATGTAATATACGCATACAGACTCTAAGATCATTTTAGGACAGTATGACTTCTGAATGTTTTTTTTAACAAAGTTGAGAAAGTAGTTCATTTTTCAAACCATTTATTTAATACTGCAGTGAAAAGAGCATAGGACTTGAAATTAGAAGACCTGTGATTGTGTCCTGGCACCAATATTCACAGGCTACTTCTGTGTAAGTCACACCGCCTATAAAATAGGCATCATAATGCCTACATGGTTGCTGTGTGAGGAATAGGGGTACTGCAAGTAACCACATAGCACAAAGTCCTTGCACATAGTTGCTTAATTGTTATACGACTTAAGGCAAATTACTTAACATATCACAGTCCCTGTCTTAGCTATTCAGAGTTACCAGAAAATCACATGTGCTAATAGATGTAAAGTGATTTGTAGACTATAAAATGATGTAGACATGTAGAATAAGAAAAATGTACCAACATTTGTGACTATTTACTAAGAGTCAGGCTTTCCTAGTCTCATTAATTTTCTTAACAACTCTATGATACAGGTGTTACTATCCCCATTTTGGGATAAAACTGAAGGTGAGAGAGAAGTCATACAATATTCCTAAAGACACTCATCTTTAAAGTGACAAAAGTAGGTTAAAACTCAGTTCTATCTGACTATAAGGTCCACTATACCATGCTGCTTCTAGGCAGAAAAAGTCTGATACCTAACTGGCTTGTGACCTCTAGCCTTCACTTTTTGCTGTGGAATTCAAATCTCTATTGTCTAGCACTCCTCCCATTCCCATTCCTTTCAGATTTCTACTAAGTGAATCCTATTTAATGGGGGCGGGGGGGG